TTAATTGAAGCTTATGTGAGGGCACACCCGACAACTCTAGAGAATTTAGAAACTCTACGGGATATAAAGTGCTCTGTTCTGTGTCCATAACTGTGTCTACTGACAAATACTCTGTTATTTCTCCTACTACTTCGCTTAATATATCTGAATTTATTTTGTTAATGCTCTCATTTTTTGGTGTAAGAATCGCCTTTTCACGTAACCATTTGTCTTCATGCATGTTCGTTAAATCTGAATAAACGCTCGCAATTAATTCGGAATGACTCTGTACTGAATTACAAAAATCTCCCGTCAATTTAACGCTGCCCTCAGCATCCGTTTCCAACCGCCCATCGCCATTTTTAATAGTGTGTCAGCATAGTTTCCATCAATGATATCAATATACAAATGCATACAATTTTGTCACCTAGTTCCATAAAATAGACGACTTGAGGCATGCTTTAATTTCATCTGCAGGTGTACCCTTTTAAATGACAGGTAAAGTTTGGCGAAAGTCACCAGCCAGTAAAACCACCTTTCCTCCCACTACATCGGTATTGCTGCGCAAATCCTGGAGCGTTCGATTTAGTGCTTCTACAGCTTTTTTATGTGACATTGTACTTTCGTCTCAGGCTAAAAGTTTGCATTGTCGTAGCATTATACATCGTGCACTATTTTTGGTAAAGTTGGAGATCGGCGATTCTTCCTGGGCTAGATTTAGAGGGAGTTTTGAAACAGAATGTGCAGTGCGGCTCCTGCTTAGCAGCGTGGCGGCTATACCGGAGGAAGCTACGGCCACAGCAATATTTTTATCTTTCCGTACTTGCGCTAATAATAAATTTAACAAAAATGTCTTCCCAGTTCCTCCAGGGGCATCTAAAAAGAAAAGTGCACCATTTCCAGATTCAATTTGTCCTAATACTTTGTCAAAAACTCGTTTTTGTTCGGGAAGCAAGCGGGGTACAATTCGGCTACTTGCTGCTGCAAAGCTGGTATATCGTAGTTTGTTTCACGTATAATTTCATCACTTACTTCATTTTCGGTTGTTCGCTGGGGGCTTATCATTCCAAAGTCGCTTAATTTTTTGCCTACCATTGCTATTACTTTATATTCAATTTTTCCAAGTGCTTGATTATAAATGTGTTCATTGTATGTCATGTTCGTGTCTGTCTGCTATACCCTTCGCAAAATATCTTCCGCCATGTACTCTTTATATTTGTCATACAATTCATGTGCATTAGATAACCCGCAAGATGATATGAGAGTTGAAATGATGAAAATTATAACTGAAAGCTTAAATTCACGAACTCCACTTTTAATTATATTTTTTGATATGAGCAAAGCTTTTGACTTCGTATCACACAGTCTTCTACTAGATAAATTAGAAAGGTATGGAATAAGAGGAACAGCCCAAAACTGGATTGAGAGTTATCTTAAAAATCGTAAGCAGTGTGTAGAAGTTACAAAAGTCATAAAGAACACAAAGATATCAAAACGCTCTCAATATCTTACAAACAGTTTTGGTGTTCCACAAGGCAGTGTACTGGGACCTTTGCTGTTCTTGATATACATTAACGATCTTCCTGACTTTACTACAAGCAAATGCATTTTATTTGCTGATGACACTACTTTTATAGTTAAAGGTAATAATAGATCTTAACTTGAAATCGCAGCTAATGGTGTTCTAAATAAGGTCATACAGTAGATGAATATAAATAATTTAGATATAAATATAAATAAGACGAAATTTATTGAATATAAAACCCTCAAAAACATTTCAAATGACATTAAAATCACATATAACAACTCGATAATTAAAGAAGTCGTTTCCACGACATTTCTAGGAATAATATTTGATAAATTTTGTAGTTGGAAGCCTCATATAGAAAGCCTTTGTACTAAAATAGATCGTTTCGTTTTTGCATTGCGTAAACTATTTTCTGATAGAAGAAATATTGTATGAGAAAGAGCTGCACTGATGGCATATTATGGATATATCTCATCCATACTACGATATGGTGTTCTACTCTGGGGGTATTCGGTGGATTCGGATAAAGCATTTAAAGCACAAAAACGCTGCATAAAGAGCTCTTTGTGGTGTTGGTCCTTTAGTGAGTTGTAAACCTTTGTTCAAAATTAAAAAGATCCTGCCTTTGTCTTCATTATACACATTTGAAATGTGCATGTTTGTTCATAAGCATCCACATTTATTTCAACGTAAGTGTGATGTGAGTGAAAGTAAGGGTAGATACAAGAATAGGTTATATGCGCCAGCAAATCGTCTAAAAGTTACAAAAAGAAATGCTTCTGCAATGTCGATTAGAATTTATAATAAATTACCTGATAATTTAAAGCGTAATAGTTTAAAATCTGTTTTGGCATTGATGCTCCGTAAATGTTATTATTCTGTAGAAGAGTTCTTAAACGACAACGACATACATACGAGTAATAATGAATGATAATTTTAGAATAGGATTAATTACGTAATTACAAGATTCTGATATTTAAAAAAAATAATGTTTTTGATATTATTTTACATAAAATTTGACTTATGTATCTAATTACTTAATAAATTTGATGTAAAAATAGAAAGATATTAGTGACAATTGTATATGTAACATTATATAATTATTGACGTAAGAATAATAATTAATATATGACATTGACCTATAATAATAATCTTACTTGATATAATAATACTTACTTATATTTTTTCTGACACTGTGGCATAATAAATTAATTATCAAATCAAGTAAATAATATTAAATAATTTTATATTTTGTTAAATTAATATATGTTGTTAAATTCGATAAGTATTGTTGTTTAGGTTACTTGACCATTAATATTTGCACACCACTAAGGTAGAATATGTAGAACGAATTATACTCAAACACCATTGTACAACCATATTCTTGCAAATAAAGATTATTAATATTATGTGGGGTAGCTATATAGTTTTCTCATCTGGTTCGGATGTATAAATATATAATTATAAATGAAAATGAAAAGATAAATATACATAAATATCAACAAAATAATATAAATACAAAAATACATAAATAAATAAAAGCCCAACCAGATGGAAGCCCTCGGCAGGGGAGACCAAACGGCCAAGGGTTAGGGGGAAAGGGAAAGAAACCGGCGGACGATGCGGGCAGTATCAAGGAGCACCGCCTTTTGCATTTGAGCCCGGAGCGGTCCGTCACGGAGTCCTAGTCGCCTCAGATGACCAGAGAGGCTAACTGGGATTAGCCCATTCGCAGAGACGACTACAGGAATAATTTCCGCACACACCACATGTCGGTCACCTCGTGAGCCAGGTCCAGATATTTTGATTGCTTATTTGTTTCGGCTTTCACGAGGTTCTCGTCATACGGGATGGTAATATCGACCAAAAATATCCTTGACTGTGCCCGGTCCATCAGCACAATATCAGGCTTATTCGCAAGAATAGTCCTGTCTGTGATGATGGCCCGGTCCCAGTAGAGCCTGGCGCGGTCATTTTCGAGCACGGCTTCCGGCAAGTACTTGTAATACAGCAATTTCCGGTCCACGAGACCGTATTTCAGAGCGAGCTCCTGGTGTAGAATTCTGGCTACTAGGTTGTGCCTGTGCAAGTACTCAGAGTTAGAAAGCGCCGAACAACCGGGGATGACATGCCTAAGTGACTCACCGGGATGGCGACAAGCTCGACAGACGTCGACGGTGCCATCCTTTAGGATGTACCTCCGATAGTTGTTGGTCTTAATAACCTGATCCTGTATTGCACAGACAAAACCCTCGGTTTCCCCGAAGAGGTCACCGAAACGTAGCCAGTTGAGGGAGGCGACTGTATCTACGAAGGGCTCAATAAGAGCCCTGTAGTACCTCCCGTGGAGCTCCTTCTCCTTCCATACGGTCTCCCGGTCGGAAATGCTAAGCACTGCTGGGTCCTGCCATTGCTCGTTGGCTAAGGATAGAGGGGTAAGCCCTTTATCACTAGAAATGACGTCATTATAGAATGGATCATCCGATCTCGCCAGGAAGTAATCACGGAGGCTGCACACTTCGCGATTATGCATGGTGAGCGCGCTCAGAAAACCACGCCCACCATGCTTTCGCGGCAAGTACAGCCTCATTACCGACGATCTTGGATGATGCATCCTATGGGACGTCATGGTAGTGCGGACTTTTCTATCCAGGGCGTTAAGTTCGGTCTGAGTCCACCTGAGTATGCCAAAGGTATATATGAGGACAGGCATGACCCAACCGTTATATGCGTGTGTCTTATTCACATCGGACAAAAGGCTGTTAAGCACTTTGGTCAAGCGTGTATAAAACACGTCGCAAACTGACTGTTTCATACCAGCCTCATCGATACCGATGTTCTGTGGCATACATTTATCCCTCCTTTCCGTAGCTGAAATCCCCTCCCGGAGCCCTCCAGTAAGGTACTGAGAGGGTTAAGAGAGGCAGAACCAGATTGGACTCAGACAATCGCCCTGGAAGATACCCCTTCTTATCCTTATGTGGTTCTCCGCAGCGTCATCCGCTCGCCCAGATGACAAAGGATCGTACTCCACTGCCCCATACACTGCTCGAGGAAGTCTCTAACTGTACTGTCAATCTTGTACAGCTCGAGGACCCTCTTTAGCCATGTATGGGGCACCGAGTCGAACGCCTTTCTGTAGTCTATCCAGGCGGCGGAGAAGTTCCGACGGTTGCGTTTCACCACTTTGCCTATGACCGCGTCAATGAGGAGTGGTTCCTTAGTTCCACGACCACCGCCCCGACATCCATTTTGAGCGCGTGACATCACCTGGTTTAGCTCCAGGTGACGAGTGATTCTCGCGCTCAAAATGGATGTCAGTGTCTTATATATGGTGGGTAGACACGTGATGGGGCGGTATTTGCTCGGGTCTGTGGTATCCTGATCTTTAGGAACCAATTGAGTGATCCCAGTATTGAAGAGGCTCGGGAGTGACTTCTGGTCGAGAGCCTCTTGAAACTGTCGGGCGAGCACAGCGTGACACACTACGAACCCCTTCAGCCAGTAATGATGCAGCCCGTCGAGCCCCGGACTTTTCCAGTTCGGGGCCCTACGGACCGCCTCAGCCACGTCTTCTGGCGTTATGGTGATGGGGTCCATAGGCGTAACACTCGCACCCTGGCTCGCCACAACTTCCATCCAAGGGCCCTCGCTGTGGTTTACGGGCTCTGACCACAGGCCACGCCAGAATGCGATAATGTCAGCCTGATCCGGTCCTTGGCCCGCTCCACATACCTTTGGTCGCTCCAATAATTTATAGAGCCTCTTCTGATCACTCTGGAAGAGACGATTCTGGTTGAACCGCCTTGACCCTTCGGAAAATCGTCGAATCCGCTTCCCCCAAGCAGCGATCTTTTGCTTCAGGTCGTCTATGCGCTCCGTTAGTTTCTGCGTGATATCCGGCTGGGACAAACTGATATTTGTCCCAGCAAACGCCATTCTAACGGTGCGCATAATCCTCGGTCTGTTATTACCCGACCTGAAGCTTGTCAGTCTGCCGATAAGGGCCCTTGCCTTTGCGATACGGTCCTCGATTCTTTTTCTCCAGGCTGGGATGGCGCTACTTTGTGTAGTAGCGCGTCCAGCCATGGGAAGTTTGGCGCCAATGATACGGCAAACTGCCACTGCGGCGCCAAAGAGAATCGAGTCCGTCTCGCAAAGGTCCCGGCTGGCTTCCAAATAGGTCACCAGCATTGGGTTAAGAGCCCTCACGACAGCCCGATTTCGCTTGCTTAAGGGTATGCGGGGAAGTCGCGGTCGATTTTCGAGAGGGGTGCTGCGCGTTTCCAGAATCGCCTCTTCCAATATGCTCCTCATTTGCTCTAGTTCGTGGGAGACTATTCCATCGTCGTTCGAATCAACCACAACTGGAAGATCCATGGCGGTTTCCACGTGTGGATGCTGGTCTGTCGAATGTGGCGCTGCATCTCCAGCCGTAGCCGATTCATTCGACGACGGAATAGCCTCACGTCGTAGTCGTTCGAGTTCGGCGTCATCAAATATTTTCGAGCGCATGATGTACCGAACTCGGTCTGCCAGGTTTTGTTCCGTGACGGGGATATACGGCTCCAGCTCAGCAAAAAAGCGATGCATCCGAGACCTATACGCTATTCCCACAGTTTCTTCCCCTTTCGCCCTATAGTACGCCCGCAATGCGTTTTCGTTCATGAATTTTGTCCAACGCATGCGACGTGCTCCACCAGCGGCGGGTGCCGCTTGCTGGGTCCGAGAAGACCCAGCCGACACCAAGCCTTCTGGTGGGGATGATGGATGCGAGGGGCTGTTAGGTGATCGTGCAGCTCCTCGCGCTCGGCTGGCGGCCCGCATGCTGCCGCGTCCAGTGCCAGCTCCAGACGCGCCCCGGCGACCCCCAGGCAGCGGCCCTATGCGCGTTCCTTTTTGTGTTTCTTCCATCATCCATTTTATGGGCGCCAAATAACGGGAGACGCCCAAGCCCGGCACCGTTTTGTGGTTGGGTCATATGCACAAACGGACCTTTGCACTATTCTACTTACTACAATTTTGCCTAGGCACGGCGCTCACACCTCTTGGCAGGGTGCTGACTGACTGCGCCGACGTAGAAGTTTTGTCACATAACTGTTACGTCAGCGGGCGATGGGGTAGTCACTTCCCTACGCTTTGTTATTATTATAATTATTATTATTTCATGCTTTCCTCGAGGGGTCCGATCTGCGTGAATGACGACTTTATAATCCTCTTCAGGTAGGTTTTCTAAAGCAGTTTTAAATATTTTGACTAAAATGTTACGTTCATGCAAGAATCTTTGAATTTTGAACACTGTGTCTCTCTCAACTCCCTGGATAAATTGGCAGCGACGGTCTACCTCAATTTCTTCGTCACCCATAAAATATACTTGTAAAAATTTATGCTGTTCGTTTTCAGCTGGAAAAAGTGAATCTATTCTATGATAAATTTGCCCTTGCACCGTAAATTTAGGCGAAAATCCTGGCGTTATTATTTCCCGGTCAACTCCGAAGGACGTCATTTGAAAGCATGAGTTATATTTCCGGATCCTGTTTAAAAGCGCCGTGACTCATTAGCATCATATAAAAAGAGAGTTTTCAAAGGTTCTTCTGGTTCCCCAAGTAACGGAAGAGACACTTTGCCATTGTAGCAGCACATGCCTGCGGTCTCATCTTTCATTTTAAAGCGCTACAAAATCGACACGCCTTGTCCATTAGTCAGATAACAACTAACCTGTGATTTTTATAATCAATCAACGGATCATAATTGAATGCTGCGTCATTAAAAACCGACCAAATGTTTCTTTGAAAAATTTGTCGACGCTCAGATTGGAGCTGTGCATATGCATCTCTTCGCGCCAGTGACTGTTCTGGTGATTCAGATGCCCTTATAGTAGATTGACTTTCAGCTTGCTCAATGAGTCTGTGTTAAGTTTCATCAGGTGTTTCCGCGGCTCTTAAGGCGGCCTGACATTCCGCTTGTTCGAATAGCCTTTGCTGACTTTGATCAGGTGTTTCAGTAGCTCTTACAGTAGCTTGACGCTCTGCCTATTCAAGACGCCTTTGCTGACTTTGAGCAGGTGTTTCAGTAGCTCTTAAAGTAGCTTGACGCTCTGACTGTTCAAGACGCCTTCGCTGACTTTGAGAAGGTGTTTCAGAAGTTCTTAAAGTAGCTTGACGCTCTGACTGTTCAAGACGCCTTTCCTGACTTTGAGAAGGCGTTTCGGAAGCTCTTAAAGCAGCCTGACGCTCTGTCTGTTCAAGACGCCTTTGCTGACCTTGAGAAGGTGTCACAGGTGCTCTAAAAGCAGCCTGACGCTCTGCTTCCTTCTCAGTTCAGCATCTTCTAAAGATTCTAGCGATCGAGCAAATATTTTCGCTTGTATTAGAGAAGATATTCTTGAAAGGCTGGACTTAAGTTTGCGAGGCATTATGAAGTAACAAAAAACCTATTTATAAAAAAACGTTAAAATACCCAAAAGGAATTAAATTTCCTTTTAAATATTTTTTTTAAAAGCAAATCCAAAATATCTAAAAGATATAAATATTCCTTTTAAATATTTTTTTAAAATCAAAACAACAAAACTAATTCAAGACACAACTCGAATATGAAAACGATAGCCAAAAAAAAAATCGAATCAACTTAAACCAAATCACAAAACAAATCGCAGAAAACCGAAATCGAAAGCAGTAGTCAATATAAATATAACCAACGAAAAAAGAAGTAAGTGTATAGGTACCGTATACACTATCTATACTATTAATATTCCTTTGAAATATTGTTAAACAACCTAAAACAACGAAAACCAATTCACAGTTCCAAATAAAAAAAATCCAAAATCAAAGCCAGAATCTAAATATGTATAAAGGAATACCAACCAAATCAACAAAACCGATCCAAGAAAATACACAAATCCGAAAATGAAAGCCAATATAAATCCATTCAACCTTAACCAAATCACAAAGCAAATAATAAACATCCAAAATCGAAAGCAGGTAGTCGAATAAGCTACGAAATAGAAACAATTTAAGCGTATAGGTACCATATGCAATATAGGTTGACGCGCGGCTCAACCGCGGGAGTTAAGTACATGTCAGGAAACGTTTCGTTACCGCATTTTAAAAACCTAGTAACGACATCTTGCGGAATCAATTTAAACTATGTATACGTTAGTTAATAAGAACTCCCAAAAATGTTTTTCTTATTATTTTGCACAATTTTTCTTATTGTAATACCGATTCATTCATAACCACATATAAGAACTGTATTCATTTCCGTTCAATAAATATTACTAAGGCTTATTAATAAGGCTATTCAGATGATGTCCCGGACGTCAGTCTAAGCGAGATGAGAATGGCTCTCCAGCACCTTAAAAACGGCAGGGCCCCAGGCGAGGATGGAATTACAGCGGAGCTTATGAAAGCAGGTGGAACACCGGTACTTGAAGTCCTTCAGAAGCTCTTCAATTCCGTCCTCCATGGTGGCACTACTCCAAAGGCGTGGAGCAGAAGTGCGGTGGTCTTGTTCTTTAAGAAAGGCGACAACGCTCTCTTGAAGAACTACAGACCGATTTCCCTTCTGAGCCGCGTCTACGTGCTCTTTTCGAGAGTCATTACGAATCGTCTCGCACGCAGACTCGACGACTTCCAGCCTCCCGAACAAGCCGGTTTCCGAAAAGGCTTCAGTACCATAGACCACATACATACCCTGCGGCAGATTGTACAGAAGACCGAAGAGTACAATCTGCCACTTTGCCTGGCGTATGTGAACTATGAGATAGCCTTTGATTCCGTCGAAATTTGGGCGGTGCTACAGTCCCTTCAGCGGTGCCAAGTTGACTGTCGGTATATCAAAGTGCTGAAGTGTTTGTACAGTAGGGCTACGATGGCTATCCGCGTACAGAACCAGAGCTCGTAACCTATCCAACTAAAGAGAGGTGTAAGACAGGGTGACGTTATATCCCCAAAAATCTTCACCGCTGCATTGGAAGACGTTTTCAAGCTACTGGACTGGAAAGGATACAGTATTAACATCAATGGCGAGTACATCACTCACCTTCGATTTGCCGACGATATTGTCCTTATGGCAGATCGTTGGAGGACTTAAGCACTATGCTCAATGACCTCAATAGTGCCTCCCAACGGATAGGTCTTAAGATGAACATGGACAAAACAAAGATTATGTTTAATGCCCATGTCACACCTATGCCGGTAGTTGTTGGGAGCACTATGCTCGAAGTTGTTGACGAGTACGTTTACCTAGGACAAATAGTCCGACTAGGTAAGTCCAACTTCGACCGAGAGGTCAATCGACGAATTCAACTCGGCTGGGCAGCGTTCGGGAAATTACGACATATCTTCTCGTCAGGTATACCTTAATCTCTAATAACTAGATTGTACAACCAGTGCCAGTGATAACTTACGTTGGTGGTCCTTCACTTCTGGCCGTATGAGGACGTTAAGGTGCTTGAAGGTAAGTCGGAGTTTCTCTGCGTGATAGACTCAGAAATGAGGATATCCGCAGTAAAACCAGAGTGACCGACATAGCCCAACGGATTAGTAAGCTGAAGTGGCAATGGGCCGGCCATATAGCTCGAAGAACCGATAACCGATGGGGAAGAAAGGTTCTCGAGTGGCAGCCTCGTACCGGTAGGCGTAGTGTAGGGCGACCCCCCACTAGATGGAGTGACGACCTGGTAAGTTGCAGGAGGTCGTGGTGCAGGTGGCTGGACCGTCTGGCATTACTTGGGGTGACGACCTATGTTCAGCGGACTTGTGAAGGGCTGTAATGATGATGATGATGTGTGTTAATAAGGCTTACTAAGAACTGTTTCTACCACAGTTAAGTAATAGTTAAGGGTGAAAGATTGACAGGTGGTGATAGTATTTCTGATCCATACTTATAATTACGCCTGTAACACTTGCGGGGTAGGCAGAGCATCTACGGATTACTTAATATCGCCTGCGAGGTTATCGCCTATTCTGTGAATTAAAATGCACCAAAACGTTTGAAGAAAATCAGCTGGTGAATTTTATGATTTTTATCGCTCTCTTCCCAGTCCTGCGTGGAAAAATACATATCCATACATTTTTTATCTTAATTTTGGTAAAAAGACATAATAATCCAGATATTCTGACCTTTTGTGTTCGTCCATCGTACCGTCGTCCGTCTTGTAGAATCACGGTGGCGCCACCTATCTGAATTTAATTTTGCAACATATTCGATTTTCCCACGGGAATGATATGTTTTTCCGCTGAAAAAAGCCTATGTCACTCTACAGCCACCGAACTATCCCCATACAAAAAATCATGCCATGCCGACGCTCTGTTGCGACGTGAAAGAAGGACAAACTTGTGCAACATATTCGATTTTCCCACGGGAATGAGATGTTTTTCCGCGGAAAAAAGTAGCCTATGTCACTCTACAGCCACCGAACTATCCCCATACAAAAAATCTTGCCATGCCGCTCTGGAACAAACAAACAAACAAACACACTTTTGCATTTATAATATTAGTATGGACTAGTATGGATAATCGTCAAAGACTACATATTTATTTTGTCAATTTTTGGATATTCAAATGCCTGGATCCCTTCTGGCATTGCTCGCTATCTGATTGTAAGGTTTCATCACATTCGGTTAAATCACTAGCCATTCCGAAAAGTAGCCCGGAAAGACAGACACACAGATAGACAGACTGATATATTTTAAAAATGATTGTTTAAGTCTTAATAGCATGCAAATTACTCTTTAACTAGGAGCCAGCTGTTTCAAAATTATAAACAATCACTTTAATTTTATTTATTGTTATAATATAATAAATCAAAAATAAAAATTAAACTTTATATATATATATATATATATATATATATATATATTTTTTTTTTTAATATTGCATAACTATATACTAAAATAAATTATATATTATTT